CACTAGGGGCACCGAGAAGCTTGTGAAAAGGGAGGCAGTGCTTGTTTGCCCTCCTGGATGAAAGGAGCCACATGTCTTTCCGCAGTTCCACTAAGGAGCCAATAAAATAGAAACAAAACACGCCGGTGCCAAGACTTAAACAACAAGGCGGAAGCGGCTTAGGTTTGTGGTCGGCTACCCCATGTCAGCACCGAGTTGGAGCCAAGGTATTTTCTAGTCTCTCCAGTCTCTGATGTCACACGTCTTCTCTTTGGAAAAGTAGGGCCGGGCATGTCACCCAAGGGTAAGTCCATGCCTTGTGCAGGCGTGAACATTTTGGGGAAGACACATTTCAACAAATACGAAAACTAGGGAATTTAAAGTTTCCCCTACATAGGGTGAGCAAATTATGATTCAGGGTCAAATCCAATTTTGTGGAGTTTTTTTTTGGGGGGGTGTGTTTGGGTGGAGAAGAAGGAATGGTTTTAGAAGTTTTCTCCTTTTCCCAAATGGACTTTAGAATTAAAAATAAAAATACCTTCTAATACTTAGTTAGAAACCTGATAGCTCCTAGGAATAACATTAGCAGGGTGTAAAGGAAAGGACATTCGTTTGGAAGTCAGGATCCTGAGTCATTGCCCTGACTCTACTCACTAGTTATGTCTGTTGCCTCTTTTTGAAAATAAAGTTTTATTGGAACACAGCCACACCGACTCGTTTACAGATTTTCTGTGGATGTTTTCATACACAGCAGCAGAGTTGAGTAACTGTGAAGGAGACCACATAGCCCACAAAATCTAAAACATTTACTCTCTGGCTCTTTCTAGAAAAAGTCTGCCAACCCTTACCCTACACTTAGTAGAAGAAGAAATTTGCTATGTTATACCATATGAAATTGCTGATATTTGACAGCTTTGATTTTTTTTTTTAGCTTTGATATTTCAATTTGAAGTTTTCAATCACTCAATTTAATAACTCACTCTTTGGAATCTGTTCTTCAGCAACCATCACCAAAACATGCCATCCCCGAATGCCTCCCCTGTTCTTACACCCAGGCAGATGGACGCACTCTCTCCTCACAATGCCCAGGTTGCTTGGCTCCCACAGCTGGCTGATTCTATCTTGTATAACAGTCATTAGGTGTATAGCTCCTCCTCTACACTAAAATGTTCCTTTTTAGGCTACATTGCACCCCGGCCCCCCGACTCCAAATTCATCTAATCCCCAGTACTTCAAAATGTAACAATGTTTGAAAAGAGCCTTTAAAGCTAATTAAGTTAAAATAAAAATCAAAAGGGTGGGCCCTAATCCAATAGGACTTGAAGACTTTTCAGAAGAGAAGATTAGGACATACAGAGAGAACCCCCCCCAAAAAGTGCACAGCCACAGGAAACACCACACAAGGGCAGGGTGAGATGGCCACCATCTGCAAGATGAGGGAGGTGCAGGATGTTGACATCCTGGTCTTGGACTTTCAGCCTCCAGAACTGTGAGCAGTTCTGTGATAAATTATTTTATTAATTATTTTATTTCTGAAATAAATAAATTTCTGAGTAAAATACAGTTACTAAAGAATAGAAATCACTCCTTTCTTCCTTTGCATTCCCAATAGTATCTGGAGCCAGATATCCAGTATTTGTTGATTAAACTTTACAGAATTGAGTGAAACAGGAGGCATAACATAATGTTTCTGGGCTTTACAATGTTCCTTCTTAAAAATTCCTAGAGGGTAAATATGAACTTTTTAAAAAAATGTTCTAGAAGACTGGAATAGTTCATTCAACAAACATTGATGAACTGCTGGGCATAAATATCCATTTCCACAGCTCTAATGATTTATTGTTTTCCATGAAAATTGGAGAGCACTATCCTTTTCATGGTCTGTGCAGGAAGAGAAAGGAATAACCAAAATGCTGGATGAGAACTGGGCCAATTAGAAAAGCAGGCCCTCAGGAGCCAATTCTGAATAATGATCTTCAGGGGGGACCCATTATGAACAGTAAACAGAAATATTAAACGTGTCATTCTAATTTACATTCCAGATGCCAGAATCTGCAAAAATAGGTGATGCCACTAAGATCAAACAATTTGAGGAGTCAGGCTTTCCTCCTTTATCCAAAATCTGTTGAGTAGTAAGTGTGACCGCTGCATGTGGAACAGTAGCCAAACCCAACCTGAAATAATTCATTTTGCAAATATCCCCCAAATACAGCTGCTTTCCTGATTGTTCGTTTCTAAATGAACAAATAAAAGGTTTTAGTATGAACAATGTCCAGATGCCCCAGAAGCCAACTCTGTCTGCCAATTCCATTGACCAAATACACATTCTATTCCTTTCAGATTTCAATGAGAGCCCATGGTGAGAAGCAGTGTTTTAGCTAGAAAGGACTTTACCAACTTGAAGATTGATGAGAGCGCCAAGAAGACCCCACCAGGCAGTCCGAAGCCTTGGAAAGTTAGAAGTCATTGAGCATTGACAGTTCTGATCTTTCCCAGTCCCACATGTTTCACCCAAGGAATTTCCATACAATTACAGCAAGACCTGAATCACATTATCCCTAACCAAGTCCTCCTCTTAGTGGCACCAGGAACCATCTCTGTGAAAAAAGCCATGGCTTATAAGACATTTGGCTGCTATCATCTAACTTCTCAATAGAAGACTGATTAGTTTTTCCAAGATACTTTGTAGGCATGTCTGGAAAATAATGCCTGGTCACTGATTTGCCCTTGGCTACTGGATTAAGAAAAAGAAAAGCAATCTAAATTGATACCACAAGGCCTGCTTTGTCTCTGTGCAGTGGAACTGTTCCTCAGAAGTCAAAATTCCTATTTTCATTCCTGATGTTCAATAGAAACAAGATTTGATCACTCCAAGTAAATACAACACAAGTCATCTCATTAACTCCATTCCAATTCATATATAAATGTCACAAAGCTACATTTCTGTAGATGGGGATTAACACAATAAGACTTGTTTAACTAACTAAATAATCTGCTCTTTAAGGATTTTTTTAAATATCCATCCTTAGCCAATTGTCTAGGTAGTTTCCCATCTTCTTTGTAGCTTTGTAGCATGCAGATCTTTGAAAATGAAAATCCAGGGCCTCCCTGGTGGTGCAAGATTTAAACACACTGTTATCCAGCTACTTGCAGCCTCTGCCACACAAGTTCGATTGCCAGCCTGCCAGGGAGCAACCCACATGGCGCAGCAGACCTCTCCTGCCTTGCCCGCTGCTCCCCTCACCAGTGTATTTCAGTCCATTTGCCTGTTCTGTTCCCCACTGTCTCTGGTGAATCCTCTCACCTCCTACACCTCTGGCCTGTACCCCAGTTCTTGTATGTATAAATAAATAAATCTTTAAAAAAAAAAGAAAGAAAGAAAATCCATGTGCAATCCTTCCTGTGGCTTGAAATCTTAAGTGTTCCAAATCCATAATCTGTGAATATGATGACCTTCATGCCATATGCCTGTGGGTCCCCAATACCCTCCGACCACCTCACCCACAACTTTCCACAATCTTTCTATCCCAACCACATCAAACCAAACTTTTCTGTGAAGTATCATGGTCTTCTATGTTTCTTCTCTAGTCAAATTTCCCAATTCTCTTTAAAATATACCTGTTTTCAAGTCAACAAGATCCCTAATTAACTCCAAAACAAACCCTGTTTATTACTGAGTCTTTCCCTTGTATTTCTTCCTGGCTTGTCACTTGAAGGATTTCTTCCAAGTTTCAAACTCCAGCTCAGAATTTAATTCCTTGAAGTTTGTCTCCTACAAACAACCCCACATTCACCCTACAGTACCAATCCGCTGAACCACGAAATTTAAGTAGTTAATTATATTTCAAAATACATCTGTGCATTTTGGTGACATCTCACTAGAATAAACCCCATACTTATTTTCATTATTTTGTTCACTGCTGTAATCTTGGCACCTGGCACATGAAAACACTTGATAAATATTTGTTGAGTAACTCAAGATTGACCAGTGCCTCCCTGGTAGAACTTTGAACCTCTCTAGGGCAGGGACCATATTATTTTCCTTTTATTTTTACTCCCCACAACCCACTGTGGTGTGTATCCAAGTGCTTATACTTCTCCAATGCCTACTGATTGATAAATCACCCAAAAGGCCAACCACAGACTACAGTTCTGTGTTGAAATGACCATGTTACAGTAGGCAATGTCTAAATTCTTCCTGGAAAAAGAAGGAAAGGAAAAAAGAGAAAGAGAGCTAAAAGGATTTACTATTAAGTTTAGAAAGATAATACATGCCCTTTAAAATTGAAAATGAAATCACCTATCATTTAAGAACCATGTGTCTTCCTTAATCACCACGTTTCACCCAACCATTGTTAAGCATAGTTATTTCTGTTCTACAGAGAACAGAGATTATTGAAAATAATATCTTCTCATATTTCTATGTGGACACATACGTCTGAAGTAGACAAAACTGGTAAATATTATTATATTCATTTCATGGATGAAGAAACCAGCAAGGTCCTCCTATGAAATGTTTTGTGGCTACTAAATGATAGAGCTGAGATTAACCAGAATTTCTTTTATAGTTTTCTAGTTCACCTAGCATTTTTTTCATGATGCCTTTACAAGAGTCATATTTCAAATTTTCAGAATGCCTCTCTTTTTGTTCCCTAGGTGTTACAGGGCAGGGAGAGGGGCAGCCCAGACCCCCCAAACCTGCCTGCTCTAAAGGTTCTGTCATCCGTCCCATCAACACAAACCATATGAGATCTTAATCAGAAGGAACTTTAATACAATTAGGAAACAGTACAGGAAAGACAAAGAATCTAGTTTCTAAATCAAGCACCCAAAGTGACCCGTCCCCTCGCGGGTAAAAGTCCACTCAAGCAGGACTGGCCCAGAGAAAGGCCCCAAACCCTGCCACAAGTCAAACACCTTTCAGTGGGGACCCACAGAAAAGGATCAGAAACAACCAGACAAGTCTTAGAGGAAACGAGCAAAATCAAAACCCGCCATTGTCACCTCCCCACGGGTCTCACCAACATCTGTGTCACCCCGTCCACGAGCAAAAGACAAACGCAGTTTCTTCACGTGTCTCTCGGCTCCATGTGCCTCCTCCAGGTCTCCTCCTGGCTCCATCCTGTTTCCTTCCTTCCTCAGTCTCCTCTGCAGCTTCTTCTCTCCCTGCTCAGCTCCACCCTCCCTTGGGTGGGGCAGGGAACCTGGAACCGCCCCCTTTCCTGGGGACCCCCCTGTTCCCTAGGTATTCCTGCTGATCTTCCTCTCCCTGATTATTCTCATGAGATTCTGCTCTTGCTAAAGTGGGCAAAGCAAGTCATGGCCCTTCGGAGTGAGGCAGGGAATCCTGTAACCGAAATCCACATATTCTTACTAATGCTATTATTTTTCATGGCACCATTATCTAAAAACCCAGGTTTTTGTTTTTTTTTTGTTTGTTTGTTTTTGTTTTTGACTGGCTTATTACTTTAGGGCAGAAGAGAGTGTACAATCAACGCGACTTTTCTTTCTAAAATACCGAAACCCAAAGCAATCATACTCTTGAGGGTCAAGGCTGTCATTGGGGGAGCCAGGCTTTTATGATGGAGAAAGGTTTTTCAGTCTTCAACAACTTGGATGTAATCGGAGCATAAGCCTTACACTATAAATAGTTCTGTTAGGAAGAAGGCAGGTCCCCTCTCCAAATCGCATAAATTCAATCTGCTGGATGGAGAAGAGTATTGAGATGGAAAAAGGTTCAGGATCGCCTAGTCACTGCGGGCGTCTCAGAGAAAAGACTGCACGCCCACCTCCCTCTTTCTGCAGCAGAGCCCAGGCTGAGAGGACGGTGATATCACTGTAGATCAATTGGGTGGGTGCAGGGGATAAAGGGAAGTTAATTCCTGGAAGAAAGAGGACTAGCATCTCCCTTCCTGTCCTTCAGGCTAAGATGGAGAGCTTCTCAGAGGCCCACCCCACCCCCAGGGCTCTGAGCTGGAGTAGAGGCTGGGGCTAGTTAGGACAAAAGGCTGAGACAAGCTTTTGAGTGTTCTGAAGCCCTAGGGATGTGGGAGAACATCCTGACACTCCCTGTCCTTGGGGGAGGTTTGGGATCCCAGCCAAAGAGATCTGATAATGGGCCATCAGCCCAGCACAGATGGGACAAACTTGAGGCCAAGGATGGATCTTGGAGCCAGCAGGAGGGACACAATGCATGAGGTGAGCCCCATGTGACCAGCACAAAGGTCCAGGAGAAGCACCATGATCCCCAACCCTGATGCCAGCGTGTGTGTGCCAACCTCCTCCAAAACATTCATGACACTCAGGCCGACCCAGGGGGAGCAGAACACGAACTGGGGGGCCTCATTTTAAACCAGCTTAGAAGTGACTAAAATCCCTGCTATCAGACAGAAACAGGTTCAAGAGAATGTTCAGTTCCAGAAAAATAAAGTCACGCTTTTGCCTATCTACCTCCCTACCAGCGAAATTTATAGACAATTCACGTGCAAGAGGTAAGGACTGAGGAGGCTGCAGACGGCCGGGGACTCAGAGCCAGCCAGGGATGGCCAGATCCATTTCAGAAGCTGGGTCTGTCTTCAAAGGGTTCTGACTCCCGACCTCTGGCTGGCCTGGCCCTCCTCTCAGAACACACCAGACAGACGAATAAACACAGCTCACCAGTGGACCACATGTTCCCACTCTTCTTCCAAGTGCTTTGCGCTGGGGGCCTCCTCCACTGCTGACTATTCATCTAGGCCTTCTCCGCATGCTCAGGCCCCACAGAAGCTTGTTCCCTGCCCCCTCAGCCAAACAATAGCTTAGAAAACAACTGTCAACCTTAAGAGAGATTCCCCGTATTGATGAAGCTCTGTGCCCACAAATTTTCTCAGATTCATGGGTCTACAGGGCAGACTTTATTCAGTCCTTGGAACAAAACATCCCCCTCACTGGGGTGTGCCTTTGAATCGGAGCCTCCTCACTAAGGGCCCTGATAAGTCCCTACACTTCATTGTGAAGAAACAATGGTAAACCATGGCCTGTCTTGGGTCACCTTGAGAGGCAGAAAAACCGAAGAAAAAAACATGGGGACCCCAGAGAAGGGAAGGGAGGCCCACAGGGTGGCGTTTGGAGGAGCTGGAAGGAACTCTGCCCATATTTCTCAAGGGACTGCGCAGAGTTCAGAGAACACCACTGGGCGCTGCTAAGGGGAATGGGAGGCTTGGCAGAGACAAGGACGCCTGGCGATGGATGGGGGTTGGACTGGGGAGAGTGGGGGTCAGGTCCAGAGGCACCGGGAGAACTCTTGTCCTGAAATCCCTACCTTACTAGGCAGTGTGTAACCATTCAGCTCTTGAACTGAAGCCTCAACTCTCTTGCAAACAAGGAAATGACTCCCCTGCAGTGTAGCCCCGGAAGCCACAGAAGAACTTTGAGAACTGTCCCATCTGATCCTTTCTGCTTTGCAACCCAATCGAGGAAGAATGGTTTCCCTCCAGAAATTCACTTTTGATTTTTACTAATGGTGGAGAAAGAAGGATGGGGAAGATGTAGGGGGTTCCCTGAAAACCTGGTTGGAGTGATGTCAGATGCAACCGCAGGAACGGGCAGCCCCTCACACCTGTGCCCCACGGGGCTGGGAGGGGCTGGTGCGAAAGCTCAGCCTCCTCGGAAGAGCATCCTCAGAGACCACTTTGGTTCTCCTTTCACACCTGGCACCTATTTATACGGTACCAGAAAAGGGATTTTCATTTTTAACTTATGCGTGTGGATTTGCACCTTTATTCTATCAGAATCAAACTAAATGTTATTCCACAACACTTCATAAAGTTAATGATACAACGTGACTAGAGCTCTTTGCTGAAACATGACATGCTTCAGGGACCCTGAAAGTATTAAAGGGACTGGAGGCCAGGCCAAATCACACCCCTGGAGTCACATAGAGGTTCCACAAGTGTGTATATACCAGTGACATGTACATTCCTTGGTTTCTGTGAATGCAATCAGAGGATTTATATGGAAAGTCCTAAAAACCAGGGTAACCATGGCCTGGGACCTGGGAGTAGCCCAGATTGGGCAGAGCAGACCAGAACCACACTTAACTTCAGGGAACTGATGACCTGGTCCAAGAGAAAGAAGTAAAAATTAGAAAGGAAGTTAAACTTCCCCCATTGTCATTCTGAAATGGGACAAAATCTATGAAATTAGAAAATTTACTTCTTGTTGAACTCAGTGTTTTCACTCAATCGCTGTTTTTAAAAATGAACTGCTTGTTCCTGAGCCAGCATGAGCGATTTGGAAAATAACTAAATTCAGAATTTTAAAAAATGATAAACATTTTCCCTTTATTTCTCAGATTTAATTTGCATTTGGTCTGATCACATTATGGTCGAGTTCACTTGGGGCATAGAAATCTAGATAAAAAGAGTAAATATGCAGATATAACCTACAGATATGTAGGATGCATTTTTTCAAATTATGTTTATTAAGGCAAAGTTGATTCACACCATTGTGTCTTTGGGGGTTATAGGCTGAAACCTCTACAAATGTACACTTTCATGCCCTGACCATCACCGGTGCCCCAACAATACTCCACCACGTTCCATCAGCCCCTTTCCTTCCCCACCCCCTCCTACCACCTTCCCCGCTGGTAGTCTCAGTTTGTAATCAGGTGTTAAGAGTTTATTATTGGTTTGGTTTTGACTGACCCTTTGTGATGTGTCTCTATATTCAACATGTGAGGTCATCCTGTATTTTTGTCTTTTTCCATCTGGATTATTCTGCTTAGCATGAATTCGAAAGGCCTGACTGGCTCTCCCACTTCCTATGGTATACCAGGTATGTATGACCTTGGATAGTTATCTAACCCCTCTGGATCAGTTTATTCATTTATAAAATGGATTTATCCACTCTCTCAGGATTATTGTGAGTAGTTAATGAGACAACAAATATAAAAGTTCACTATTACACATTATTTTATTTTATATAGGTAATAGAATCATATATCTTATTTCTTTTTCCTTTTTTTAAAAGAGTCTGAGACTCTCAGAATTGGATGGATTCAGATAGATTATATGTGACTCATACATTTGGGGGTATCCTCTGGCAAATCAGCAGTCAGCACCTAGTAGAAGGTCCCCACACTCATCCTTAATCAACATTTCAACATCTCCAGCATTATTGCATAGCGTTTACCGTGGTGATGGAATGTTCTACATTTGCACTGATCAAAATGTAAACACCACTGGCTATTCAGCTTTTGAAGTAAGAGAGGTACAACTGACAAAATGAAGTTTTAGTTTTAATTCATTTTAATTCATATAAATACAAATAGCCACATGTGGCTAGTGTCCAGTTACACTGAGCACTGCTGGCAAGCTACACGCTTGAAACAGCTACATCGTAAGGATTGTTCTGGGGCTTATATTCACCTGGTACCTTACACCACCAAGAATAGGCAGTGTCTATCTCCACTGTGACTTCCAAGCTTACACAGGACAGAAAAGCAGACGAGGCTTAAACATACCTTGTGGCCCCCCATGGCAGGCTGTTACCCGAGGGAGCCTTGAGAAGACCACACTTCATCAAAAAGAATGAAAGGCCAGTGGTAGGATTTCTAGAACTGAGGCAGGAAGAGGATCCTCCTCAAGGGTCTCCTACAGACCACTGTCCTCCTCACTCCATTCATGGCTCTCTCTGTAATCCTTCCTGCCTCCCATCCTTCCCAGTGTTCTGTTATACAATCCTAGAGAGGCACTGCCATGGCAAAAGTTGGGGCATTTTCAAGATGTGAAGGAGCAGAGATTGCAGTAGCTGCAGAATATTCTGGGGTGTGTGTGTGTGTGTGTGTGTGTGTGTGTGTGCATGCATGCCTATGTATTTCTTCCCCTTCCCCCTTTTTTAACAGCTCCAATTCTAGCATTGAACTTGAGACTGATTATCATTTCCTCCTCTCATCATCTTACAATATACCCATACCAGCACATACAGGACTCCCAATGTCAACATTGTTTGCTTTCCTTTCAGAACAAGACACGTTAGTCCTTTGCGATCACACATTTAGAGCAGATGTCCCTAAAAAGGATAAACCAGGTGCTTAACATATTTTATTCCAAGGGGTAATTTTAGAAATTATTGCAATCAATGAGCTAATAATAATGGTGGTA